TCCTCCACTCACCATACTACCCACAATCCTCCACTCACCATACTACCAACAATCCTCCACTCACCATACTACCCACAATCCTCCACTCACCATACTACCCACAATCCTCCACTCACCATACTACCCACAGTCCTCCACTCACCATACTACCCACAATACTCCGCCCCCAAAATCCTTCTCTCACTGCATCCTGCCCGCTGACCCCCAATCCTTACCCACAATCCTCCATTCTATCCTTCTACCGCAGTCATCTTTAGCCCTCTCTTTTTTACCAGTTGTGTTATGAGGCCTCATTATGGAGGTCAGACTGGTTACCCAGAATCCCTTGTCCATGCCTTAGGCCAGGAGCCCACGGGAGCCATTGGCGCACAGATGGAACTGGGTGACGCCTACACCTGCCATGCCACCCGTCCACCGGAGGCCGGTGCAGAACCTCAATGTCATGACAGGAAGTCTAGAGATTGACCAAAGCCGGACTCCTAGTAACAGTCACCCACCATGATGAGACTCATACATCCGCACACACACACGGCTCTCCTGCAGGTAAGTGTGCATGCAGACCCCCCGGACTCACCCAATACATGACAGAAGTGCAGGAGGAGCCAAACCTACTTCACATCTGTGGTGAGGAACGGCAGGAACTGGATATTGTCCACATTCTGCCTGGAGACCATGAGCCGGAGATCCGACCTGAGGAAGGGGGGGGCAAGACAAGACATGAGTGATGCTGCTGGATGGTTGCTACGGGCGATGGCAGCCACATAATGGAGGCCGATGTCAGCTGTTGAACCGACATTTATTATCATGGGGAACACTGCGCACAAAATCTGACATCACTGGGTGTAGTGATAGAGAGACGGGCAGAGGGACAGGCGGACATGGTGATAGACACAACACGGGATGGGGGACAGACTGACGGACATGGCGACAGATGGGCTGGTGGACAAGGTGACGGACGGGAAAGGCGCAGGTGGACAAGGTGACGGACGGGAAAGGCGCAGGTGGACATGGAGATGGACAGGCAAATATGGCGACAGACAGGCGGACATGGCAACAGGTGGACATAGCGATGGACACAGTGAAAGACAGGCGGACATGGTGACAGATTTACAGGCAAATATAGTGACATGGCGACAGACAGGCGGACATAGCGATGGACACAGTGAAAGACAGGCGGACATGGCGACAGATTGACAGGCAAATATGGTGACATGGAGATGGACTGGCGGACATGGCAACAAGCGAACATGGCGACGGGGAGATGGACAGGCCGGACACGGACGTGGTGATGGGCAGGTGGACAATTGGGGGTCCCCGCAGGTGCGGAGGGGCAGATTGGCACCATTATTCCGCCACCCCCCACCATGTTTCAGACACACGGAAGTTGCGCGGGAACTGGTTCTGTGACTGTCCCGGGACTGTGTGTGTGATCGATCCTTGTTATGAGGATGACAGGATCAGTAATAATAATAACGGGGGAACTGTGATGATGTGACAGGTGATTCCACCGGGTGGAGCCCGAGGGTAATAATAGTGATGGGTCGGG